AGAAGCTAACGTTTACTTTATGTCTATTCTCTAAAAACAGTAGCGATTATTTGAGAATATACTGTAGAATGTTTTACTGAAATGAAAAATATGTCGCGATGATAAAATAAACGATGTTACTTTTCTCAATAAGAGAGCTTACGCATTATATCTCTGTGATATTTCTGCGAGAAGCAATTCGTGTAATCATCTAAGAGAAATCTTTTATCTTTCCTTCGCGCGCGTGTGCGTCTGTCGATAATTTTACTTCAATAAAAATAAAATTTCTTTCGATCGATTTAATCTCGTTAAACTAATTTTCCAAGGAGAGACCGTTCACGTCTATTACCCTTATTCTGAGATTAATTAAAAAGAGATAATGGGACTAATGTCGCATAATTTTCTTTCGATGATGCGCATCAATCTATATCACATCTTGCATTATAATTAAATAGACGTCGATATACGAAATAACGTGAACAATAAAGAAAGAAGTAGTAATAATTTGGAAATATTTTCAGTTATTCTTTCTCATGTTTTGATTTACTCCAAAAATGTAAGAGCTATTTGTTATACCAATTAACGCATTATTTTTAAACAGTATATTATTTTAACGGTATATTTATTTGAAAAATGATCGACAATCAATTGCAGAATTATATAAATGCAACATATGTATTGATCGAATTTAGCGGTCCACCTGCTTTAATAATGTATCCACTTAATTTGGTTTGCAACATTTTAAAAATAAATATCTCATGTACATTGCAGTCTTTATCGATTTATTCGTGTGGAACGAAATATCGAGATAGGGGAGGAGATCGCTGCTATCTCTTTTTCTTTCTTTTTTTCCAAACTACTTACGCCGGCAGCACAAAGATTGGCTTTTCATCGGCAACCTATGTGCCGTGTGCTCTATAAAAGACATAACGAAATTGAAAGTGGCAAGTTTGCTGATAACCAGAATGAAAAGGCGCGAAATGGTGGGAAAAGTTTCTCTCGATCATTTCTTTTTTTTAACACACTCTACGAATTTATAATTCAAGCAATATATATTAAATAATAACGTATAAATAATATAAATAATAAATTTATAAATAATAAATTTTCTTTGAAAATTCGTGAATTTTATTTATATGTATTTTTTATCGCGGTTAACTATAACAAATATAGATAATCGAATATTATTCCGCATAAATCGACGTTATATAATTGTTTCAATTACAAAAAATTTATTATTACTTTATACGTTTTTAATGGGATCGTTTTTAATGCTATCACAGGTTTTCGAAGGGAAACCTGTGCTAAAAGCTAAGAGGAGAAGTAGGAAAACACTGCAGAAGAATTATCATTAATGCTCTCTGCCCGATACACCTGGTCGTTTCCCGTCGCCGCAACACATTCGCGACATAATCGATCGCATCTCCGCGAGCGATTAATTATATCGCCATTAATAATACACAGTGTGCGATGCCGCCGGCAACTGCATTGCAGCGTCACAATAATAGCTGCCCTGACAGAACCAAAATCCTCTCTTTCTTTCTCTCACTCTTTCTTTTTTGTTATAACATTTTTTATAATGATGCTTTTAAAATAATTTGTTTTGATAATTAAAATACTCTCTAACATATTTAACATGATCTTAAATTATTGACTAATAAGAAATTACAATAAAAATATAGGTAAATTAAAATATTCAATAGAATGATTTCTCGCATTAAATAGAGAGTCTAATATCTTTTAAAGACATTTTTTAAAAGGAAATAAAAAATGTTACATTGACAAAAATATAAAATAAGCCATAAAGACATTTATTATAGATATTGCCGATTCCTAAATAATTTCTATTATTACATGTGCATGTGATATTTGATCAATTTTCTGAAACGATTAAAAAATTCAATTACAAACTTTTCATCCGTAAAATTCCTTTTAAGCACCACTGTACGGAATGTCGATATTTCAAATTAATTGAAAGCATTTTCCGGTTAACACCTATGGAGCTATCCTGGACTATCGTGTCGACAACCCGCCAATTTATCCGTCCTCTTCGAAAGGGCACGACTTTGTTCGTGCTTAAGTCGGGTTACACTGATGAATATCGGGTTCGGATAGTTATTAATCTAAACGAAAGGCGACGTCGCTATAACAGTCGATATCGATGTTAGATATCGATTTAATCCACCAACACGACTAAAGTGTCGATTAGATTACTATGCCAAATATTTCCTATCGACAATCGACACTTCGTCTTTCGATCGATTACACCGCGTAATAGCTACAAATTAGTTTAATGAGATGAATTTATCTCACATTTTTAAAGTATCCGCGCGATCTTTAATCTTATATATAAAACAGAATCTTAATTTCTTTTTTATTTGCAAAAAACACAACCTATGCTTATGTTACCGAAAAAAAATAAAACGTTACGTTACTACATAATTATTTTAATCGTTCTACATTTCGTAAATTATTTGAGTTCTGCGAAAGAAATATTTAAGATATATATTTTGAGTTCTGCGGAAGAAATATTTAAGATATATATTTCAATTACAATACGTTAAGCTTACCCCTGCATATACACTTAATTAAAGTGAAATTAACGCGAAATTAACATTCTCCCGTAATTTATATCGTAATTGAATACAGTAACATTACACGTTCCAGCCTCCACTTAAGCCCTTCGCATTATCATACTAATATCGCCGCCGGTACCAACGTCAGTTATCAACTTGTAGTTATATTTACTAAGAGTCCCTATATCAGATGCCTGTAAGGCACAACTGAATTATGCACACGGCAATACGTTAATGTCCTCGGCACAGAAAATTCGTCTACAAAATGGATTAAATTTTCTACGATAATAACGTATAAAATTAATATATTTATATGCGCTTATTATTACATATTTTAATGATATATGTGTACATCATAACCCAATTACCAATTTAATTCAGAACACGATGCGTTAAGCGCCATCGACTTCCTATTTAAGCTATTTCTCGTTGAGATGAAAATACTCTTGTCTATATTGTTATGCACTCCCGATCGGAAATATATATATATATCACTTTAAATTTATTAAATTTTATGCTTGAATTTTACGTTAAGCTATGAGGATTCCACGCACAATTAACATGCTATTATTAAGTTATCGCCGGATCATTACGCGAGAAACGCGACACATCCGTTATTATATTAATTATTGCAGGAAATATAATGCATCGTATAATAGAATCCCTGATTCTCTATTTTCGCTCTATTTCCTGATTAGTAAAAATTTAATATCATATATAATATCTGTCGCGATCGAATCGCAAAATAATATTTATATAATTAGCAATAGTTCAAACCGAATAGAGACCAATCGAAACAAAAGTCGAATTAAATTTATAGATTTAAATATTAATCTTTAATTGATTTTTAAAAAAAATTTAAAAAAAACGATAGAAATAACTCTCTTTTAAAGATAATGGAAATTTTACATATTATATATCATAACTATATATATATAAACTTATATATGATAACATCTCTTCTCACAAGCAAACGTAAACGTTCAAAATTCTTATTTAATTTATTTTTTCGATCGTTAAACGAATGGGAAATACATAAATTAGTATGTTTGTGGACTCAATTAACTCAATAAATTCAATTTGTTTACGTAAAAGGTTCCTTAAAAGGTAGAAATATAACTTTATTTAATTACGCAATAATTTTCTTGAATGAGAAAGCTATTTGAAAAATATGGTTTTAAGTATATATGAAAAAACTCTACCCTTTTTAAAATTAATGATTGAAGACATAAAGAGAAGCATATAAAATATAATTATAATTAGATGTAAATATAATTATAATTAAATATTTAGAAATATTTCGTGATAGTCAATAATTGTATTTTTTATCGTATACATATGAAATTGTTTGGCATGAAGGCTAAACGAATTTTTCATGTCACATTTGATTGGTCGCTGACCAGGTACAGCAAATAAATTGGTAGATTCGCGAATCACAGTTCACATAGAATAAAGAGGTTCTCATGGGATATTCCTAGGAGGGTTGGTTCGTGGAGGCAATACGCGTGCAGTGAAGCGGGCAGGATTTCGAAAAGAAAGGTAGATATATCCCCGTAAATTCCAACATTTTTACCGTCTATCCGTACACGCATTTTCGACGTTCGATTCATCTGGTATCGTACCTTTTTCCTGCGACCAATGATATTCTCTATTTTTAAATTCAATCCGTTTCGATGCATTGTGCAGCGATAAAAAACGCAGATTTTGTCAGACAAAATACATGTAAATTTTGTGCCCATAATATTATTTATAATATTGAATAAGTGATGTTTGAATCTAATATCGAATTAATGTACCAAAGAAATGTAAAAATATACTTTATTGAAGTTTAAAGTATTATTAAAGAGGAGAAAACATTTTAAATTCACTCCGAGATACTAAATGGATTTGTGCAGAAATGGTTATATGTATATATAAACGATAAAAATACGATAAGATACTTAAAGTTTTTTATGAAATAAAAATAAATTAATTCTCCGGTACGATGCGGAACAGCGGAATTATAATATAATATTCAGTAAATGTAATTAAATATAAATAAACTCAATTTATAAACAAAAAAGTAGTAATAAAAAGTAGTAATAAAACAAATAAATAAGAAATTTAGAAAAATTATTGCATGCAATTAAATTCTTTTTTAAATATATGCTTTTATGGAATACTGAACAAAAATATATTTTTTATTTTAATCATTATTAATTTTAAATAATATTAATATATATATATATATATATATATATATTCCACGTATATTTATTTATATTTATGTATATTAATATCATTTAATATTTTATATAATTTAAAATAAAGTTTACACATACAATACATATAGAATATTTTAATATTTCACATTGATCAAATAAATTATTATTAAAGATAAAAGCAAATAATTAATTTCACAAATAATTTAATATAATAAAATAAAATAGGTTATAAATTACTCACGATTGCTTCGCCATCGCACGATGCATCCAATGGGTCGTTATTTTCATTTCCCTTGTTCATTTTTTCCTGCTCCTTCATAACACTTGATATTCATTTGACTCACTTGATATTCATTTACGAAAAAAGTAATCACGCACTAATCAGTACACGATCATATAACAATTTACGTGACGTATAACACTCGCGACGTTACACCACGCCATTTTACTACACGACAATAATGTAATAAATCTCAAAAGCTATGACTCACTCGATATTAATTGAGGTCAAAATAACGCGCCACTCACTGCATGAATAAAAATCGTACAAATTAATAATCACTAATTGCAAAAATTATAAACAACAATCGCGTTTTGAAGAACGTCAAACGACACCGAACGACGCACGATCTGTTCGACTCGAGTCTTTCCGCGAGAATGTCAAGGTTCGAACGCGTGACGCGCATAAACATAATACACGATTGTACACGCACCATATAACACGTCGTTTAAGAAAAAACCAGTATATTGAAACAGTTTTACTCATTCAATTAACCAGTTTTTGTATCAGTAATTGGAAAAATTGTTTCAATATACTGATTATTTATTTTAAAAGTTTATTTAAAAGTTTATTTAAAAGTTTATTGTTGTCGCGATATTAATAATGCGGAATAAATGGAATACATTTGTAAGTTACAATTTCATTATTAATAAATAGTTGATTTGACCATTGCTCTTTCCATTATTTGAAATATTCGATTATTCGATTGGAGGATAATTTCGAAGCACGTATTTCGCGTGATGCGTTCATTTAATTAAGCAATTAAGAATCGATGTGTGTGACAGGAATCAAAATTATAAATTATCATTTTGTTGCAATCTTTACCGATTTTCCAATAATTATTCTTTTATTAATATTTAGAATTAAAAATATTTCGTCCGATGCTTTATCGCATAATTATTTGACGATCTAAATATAATTCGATCGAAAACACGCAGTAAAACGATCGAATGATCAAATCGAATAATTAACATAACGGAAAACCTTGTGATATATATTAATCGTTTAATAAATCTGTGTGCAATAATTAATATGTGTGTACGTGTGTGTGTGACTTTAAAAATATCTTGTATATAAATTCAATTCTCGTATACATACGTCATAGTACGCGTAAAATATTTCGGCAGAGAGTTATCAATAACACGACGTTCGGCCTTGATGACGTAGCGCGCTATTGTTTATATAGGCGAGGACCTTGTCTCATTCGCACGGCGACATTCCAGTGGTAAAGTAGTGATACAGATAACTTCATATTATACTTCGTATTATTGAATTCTTTTCCTAAAAGTGCGATCGCGATTAGTATCGAAATATAATTCGCTACGACTATTACAATTAACAATTAATTAACTCTTAATAAATAACATGAAAATGGTATCGCGATGATAAATCCATCGAAACGCGATCCTTCATTGTTGTAAATAAAAATTGAAACGAAAGGCAAAAATTACAAATACATAGACGATTTGTATCATTTACACACCGACATTCCAACGGTAAAGTGATACAAAACGCTTCATATTATTGAATTCTTTTTCTAAACGCGATCGCGATTAGTATTGAGGTATAATTCGATACGATTATTACAATTAACGATTAATTACTTTAATATGTCAATTTTATTGGGCATATATTATACATCAATAAATAGAAATCGAGTGATGCATGATTTTGCTTCATTTAAGTGTCGAGCAAATTATATTTTTTGTGTTTTTCTCTTACAATATAAAAAAATATTTCGTCTTATTATTTTGCAATCGGAAGTGTCGTGCAAAGTGTCTCGCAATCGTTTCTATATGTGACTAAATATAATTAATTGTTTGTTCGCGAGTGAATATGAGTGCTATAAGGAAACAGCAAAAGATGAAGAAAGGAGAACATGGAAAAGTATCGGACAGTCAGAGAACAATAAGAGAGTCTGAAGCAGCAGAGAAATATGCGGTGAGTAATTTATAAAAATTACTTATTATTTATATATACTATTTCTAAAATAGATATATTGCTTATTATTTTTTCATTTTCTTGATAATATATATAATTCATTCTAAAAATCACATAATATAATGCATGTATAAAATATCCCATTTTTTATTTTAACATATTTAAAGTATAATAAAGTATCTATAATAGTTTTTTATAATATTATTAATTAATACTTTTATGGTAGAAATATTTTATAAAATATTTTATAAAATATTTTTAAAATAATATAATTATTTAAATATTTCATATATAAAAATTAATATACCTTCTTTATTAATTATATTTTTCAAAAATTCATGATAAAAAAACTTTTTTGCTAGTTTTACATTTAAAGTATTAATATATCAGAGATAAATATCTCTTTTAAAGATTAAAAAATTGATTGCGCATAATAATTAATTTTACAAAATCAATTATTTTGAGTTTTATTAAAAATAGATCTATAAGAATATTAATTGTGATTATACTTGTATTTATTTTTTGACGTATTTAAAAATAGATACGATTTAAAAATAGAAGTGTGAGGCAAGAATTAAAATTGTAAATTATTGTTTTATTATGATCTTTATAAGAATAATTATTTCTTTAACAATACTTAAAGATTAAATATATTTTATTTGATTCGTTTTATTTCATTTAACTTTTTAACAATCTAAATACAATTCAAATTGAGAACGCGTGTTAAAATAAACGAATGATAAAGTCATATAGTTAAAGTTTTATAACATATATTATAATCGTTTAATAAATAATTAATTTATATTTTCAAATACTCGTATAATTTAATTTATTCCACGCATATATACATGTAAGTCGTAGTACGTAAAATATTTCGGCAACGAACTATCAATAACATAAAATTCGATCTTGCTGGCATTAAATACCGCGCTATTATTGACACCGTATGACGTATTATAAACTTATTTGCAATACTCGAGCAATAAAGTAGTAGTGCGAAATACTTCATATTGTCGAATTCTTTTTCTAACGTGATCGCGACTAGAATTAAAATCTAATTTGTTATGATTATTACAATTAATGATTATTAATAACTGTTGATAAATGATATAAAATTGAATTGTGACACTAAATCTTATCAAAATGGGATTATTCATTATCGCAATTAAAAATCGAAAGAGATCAGGAATAAAAATTATAAATTATCGTTTCATAATCCTTCGATTATAGTAAATCGAATAAAAATTATTTTTTTAATAATCTCTTAGAGACAAAATTATATATCTTGTCTAATACTTTAAATTTTTCTAAACTGCAAGCATAAATTAATTATTAATTAAATAATTGCTATATCATATTTTAATCTTTCGATTTTATTAAGATACGATTCATATTAGTATACATATAGTATATCAACAATAATGATAGTATTGTAGCGAGTGGCTTATGATATTGACCTCGTAAACATCAAATGATCATTTTCTGGGTTGCTCTTACACAACGTAATAAAGCCTATATTTAATGACATTTCATAATTAGTAGTGTCGTATAATGTGTCTTGAATGTATTGTATTTAATTATAATTAATTGTGTTTTCGCGAGTGAGTTGCCACGAGCAAACAGCAAAGGATGAACAAGAAAAGAAAAGATTTAGAAAAGCATCGAGCACCGTACGGAGCAACAAGAGATGTGTGAATAATTTATAAATTATTCATTATTTATAATTCATTATTATTCATTATTTATATATTATTTTCAAAATAGACACGTTATTCGTTTTTTTTTTCATTTCTTCATAATGATTGATTCTATATTATCGTATACTATAATGTATAATACATACATATATATTTTGCGTTTTATTTTAAAATATTTAAAAAAGATATATTTATATGATAAAATATTTGTGTATTAATTAAAATATATGTATATATATATTTGAATATTTAAAAAAAATATTTTACAATGTAATTATTTAGATATCTTATATATGAAAATTAGAATTTTTATTGTCTTCATGTTTTTAAAAGTTTCTTTATAAAAAATTTCTATAATTATGCAATTTGTAATATTATAATATCTGTTCAGAAGATAAATAAGAAAAGTTATTGCAGAATTAATTAATTTTTTAAAATGAATTATTTTGCACACTTTGCTTTATACAGAATATATAAAGCTGTAAAATTATTAATTGATTGTACTTAATTCGTTGTGTATGGCTTTTGTAACGAACAATATCCGTCTGATATATCTCACGATATATCGGTGACATCTCGAATTTCCTGATCTAAACAATCCGCGCGGACTGCTGAACTAAATATTACACGCGGACTCGCGATCAATAGCCAATAATCATAATCAATTTAATTCTCGATCCAATAGAAAATTCAGATTTAATCAATTTGCGAAATATCTTGCGTCTTATTGACATTCCGGACCTTTCTTCTTGCATCCTTATTGCATCCTTTACACATTATCTTATTTCTATAATTGCTAAAAAAGGTCGAATGAAAGGTCTCGCTCGGCTCTCCTGAATTCGACTTGTTTTCATTTCATCTATTTAGGTGCTGTATTTCACATTGAAAGTGTGAAATACAGAAGTGTGAAATAACATGTTTATTTACATGTCCATCTGTTATCGACTTTCTTATCACGTACGAATGATTTATATGTTTCAATTTAGTTTCTCACACAAATTTAATTTATTCATTTAGTTACACGTGTGATACGTACACGTTTATAACGTTGATGTAATTTAGAGAATTTTCTTTAAACTCGGTTTATTAAAGATGTGCTTAACATATTGATATATTGCGATCAAAGTAATCAATGTTGTTTATATAAGAAGTAAATGTTTGTATATTATTGCTATTTTTTTTATTTTTAATTATAAAGTGACATTATAATTAATGTCCCAGGTAGCAAGATGATGTCTCCAGACGTCTTAATGATGTACAATGATACCATTAAAACGTTATTAAGATGTCATTTCATTCTGCTACCTGGGGTATATTAATATTAATTTACTGATAATTTCCATATATGTATATTCGTGTTTAAATTACATTTAAAATATATCCTAATTATATTTTTTTTAATTATATTTTTTTTGGAGATTTTTAAAAACTATTTATATTGCTATAGAAATAATTTACAAAGAATATTATTGGAATACAATACTTTCTTAAGTGAAATCAAAGTATTTGAAATCTTGTGTCACTATTTTAATCCAATGATATTGTCACTTATTCAGATTCAGTTTAACACAGAATATTTTATATTTCGACATTTTTCTTATCTTTCGGTCAGTTTTTATTTTTATTTCACGTGCATACAAGAGTAGAAATAAATAATGAAAAAAAGAGTTAATAATAGTCATATGTATTAACATTAACGTTGTTAGAAAATTGAGATTAG